GATGTAAATATGACCCGATTGGCTCACCTCCTGCTTGCCATCGGGCCCCGACACATCCGCAGACATCTGTCTGTTCTTCCTCTGGCGTTGGTGAGAAAGAGCTTTTAAAATAAATCGTTGAGTAAGAGTGCTAACAATATAATTTTATGTCAGTGAAAGAGGATTAAACAAGAATGATTTAGCTGCTAAATATTATTGAATTGTTGTTGTCGGAAGATATTCAGTTTGTTGTGCTATTTATAGCGAGAAACAGTGATATGAAACCCAACAATTCATTCTTGACTTCTAGATTTGGACTGATAGAATGAGCTGAACAATCTATTTCCTGCAGATTTAATGTCTACTATCGTTCATGTTTGGTGTTGAATGGAGAACCCAAGTGCAGCTCAGCCTATGCTGGAAAGCAAAGTCTTTAATCAGATTAAATAAGAAAAAAGAAACTGATGGAAAACACCAACTTGTAGACCACCATGTTTCCATTATTTCCAAAATATGAAATTCTTCTGTTATCTTTTCTTGCATTTTTAAGCTGTACTTCAAACTTCTAGTTTCCAAAACACTTTGCTACAATCACCTGATGAGCTGCATCGACTCCCATTCCTCCCAAAAACGTAACGCTGAAGCTTCAGGGAGACGAAGTGACACAACATTGAAGCGGTTCACACTTTTGCAGGTGTTTGTAAAGCATCTGATCTCAACAACTCACGAAGGAAAGCACCAGACAGACACAGAGCTCCTTCAAGAACTGCTCTATTCAAGCTGCTCCAGATGGAAACACCTGCTGATGATCGGCTGACGAGTGAAAGATCCTTAAATTCCTCCTTCACTTCAAAGTGATTCTTCGCTCTGAGATCCGCTGGCCTCAGGCGCCTTCCTCAGACGCTCCGAGGCCCTGAAAGAAACCATTTATTTGATTTCCTGCATGGCTCAACTCTGAAAATAAAGAAACACCTGCTGAGATTTCACAACCACTCAGACACTCGACCGTAACAGCTATCATCATCAGAGCAGAGGGGTAACAGGAGATGGTAGCATGTTTCACAAGCGCTGACACCTTGGTGGAGACGTAAACAGAACGTACAGGTGCGCCTCAGTGAATGTTCCTGAAAGGTCTTTTTATCTTAAATGTACATGTACTTTAAAAAAGGTCCAACCAAGGACTGAGCCTGTAAATTAGTCTGTGGCTACAAAACATTTGCTTTGTTTTTATCATGTAACATTTCTTGCTGTGCTGGGGTTGGTGAAATAAACTTGTACTGAATTGAAAGTAGATTCATTAAGCACAGAGATGTTTTGTGGAGGATTATTTTTTTAATTTTGGTTAACCTTTATTTCACCAGACAAATCCCATTGAGATTAAAAATGGCAAGAAAAATCTGGTAAAAAAAAAACTCAGCTTTTCTTGAAACTGAAAATTCTAATAAAAATAATAGTGTTATGTCAATAATATGATCTACGCAATAAAGACTGCTTAATTGATAGCTAGAATGGTAAAGCTCTTCCATCTGCAAAGAAGCTGAGTTTTTTTTTATTAAAAAAAGAAATCCTTTATTTAACCAGGTAAAACCCGTTGAGATCCAGATCTCATTTTCAAGAGGGACCTGTGCAGAAACACACAACAACCTGGATACACAAAAGTGAAACAAATTAAAACATATGGACAAATAATGTATCCAATCAAATGTATGAGAAGTTGAGTGGAAGGAAAAAGTAGCCGCTTTGCCAGAGTGTGGACTGAGTCTGCTTGGAGTCCAGTGTGAAGTTTAAAGTCAGTGACGGTTTTCGGTTCCATGTCATCTGCTGATTCATCATCATCATCATCATCATCATCATCATCATCATCATCATCATCATCATCATCATCATCATCATCATCATTCTTCACTTTGCTGATAAGCTTCATGGAGAAGTTGACTTTATGTTTCCAGCAGGACTTGGTACCGGTCCGCTCTGCTAAAGGTGCCAGGTCATGGTGTGACTGGTCAGCAAAACGACACCAGAACCAACAAGCCTCAGACTGAGAGCAACCTGGGCTTTCTGAACTCCTCACCATGGCAACAGACTGATGGCCTCCATGCCATGCTGCATTGGTTCAGTAAGTCATGCAAAAGAAACTCCAGCCAATTAGCAGTCAGTGGATCAATCTTTCTGTACTAAAATTCTGCTTGTATAATTGTGAGAGAATTTTTTTTTTTCCATCTGCTGTAAACCATACCACTCAAAATCAGTGGTGAACAAAGCAGAATGCTTTGATTTGAGATCTGATTAATTTAAAGAAATAAACATTTTGATGATATTCCATTTCACTGACCACCTCAAGTATGCAAATTTAATACAAACAAAAGAGCAGGGTTGTTCAATGTCATGACTGAAAAGTCGTTTTAAATTCGTAATAGATTCAGTAAATCTGCTGACTATGAGGAACTCGATGCTGTGCATGAAGGAGGAGGCAGTGCT